GGAGTCTTACTAAATGTTAAGAAAAATCCAAAACAGCCTGTGCTTTATTCACAGTAAGTGATCAAACTGTTGCAAAGGTAACTTGAACAGCATCATCCTCGAGTTTAATGCACATGAAGACAAACCTTCAGCGCTCACGGGAAACATTTAAGGCTTCGAAACTTCATCGTGTGCAGTGCAAATACAGATCTTTTAGTGCCCCCTCCTGGCAGATGTGAATACATGCAGAGTCAGACCAAGGCTCATATAAACTCGCTTCATGTATGCTGAGCAAACTCGACAGGGAGGTAGAAGTTAAAGAGAGGATGACCCTTGCAGCACTGGCATACAAGTCCAGGAGCAGCATATGATGGGCCACTTTTGGATTCTGTGTCTCGAAATAAGTCCAACAACTCTGAAATTTGCCTGACGTTGTCTCCAGATTACAATACTATCAGCACTAACAAGCCGTAACTGTGCTTTTTCCCCTTTTTGGGAGGGAAAAAAAAATCAAAGCTTTATTTCGCAAAACAAAGGGACAACACTGCTTCAAAACTCATAGGAATTCACCTGAAACTGCACTGCTTAATGTGCGATGTTTACTGTAATGTTTATGTCGTGCTTATTCAGCTGGCTGTTGAACAATTTCCCTGCAAGCATTACAGCAGCAGCTCTCCTTCCACACTAAAGGCAACTCAGTTCAGTTAGGAAGATATTCTCTGCACAGCTGATTACATTCAATGAAAACCTGCCTCCATTTGGAATAACAATAATAAGAAAAGAAAAATGTAAACGCTTGTGTCCTCTACAACAGACAACTATGTTTGGGAATACAGGGATGCCAAATTGGAATAATCCAGTTCTTTACAACTACATTCATGTCTCCGGGTTATTCTCGTTACTGCGCGCAAGCTCTGTCGTGGAGGACTCGATCTTTTGTTCAGAGTCATTTTGCGTCTCGGACTGTAACCCCGAGGTGTCCAGCTGTTCTGGCCTTGATGTCTCTTCGAGTAAAGCCTCCATCCCCGCCAATGTGGTCCTATTGCTGCGGCTGTAACCCAGCCTCTTCAGGGTCCGCTGGGCAGTCCTCAGTGAGATGGGCTTCTCCACCCCGCTGCTGTTGTACAAGGCATGGATCTCCTCGACCGTAGCCTCCCTGTTAGCCTCCAACATGCTTGCCAGTCTCTTCTCTCCGTTCTCATCGACGAGCCGCTTCCTCCCGCTCGCTCCGCGGTCGCTCGAGGTTTTCTGTTTATGACACCATTCCCTGTGAACTCGGGACACCGCGGTCCTTGAACAGCCCAGCAGGTTCGCTGTCTGGGACAGGCTGCACCCGGCGTTTCGGGCTCCCACTATCATACCCCGCTCAAACTCACTGAAATCCCGCGACTTGCCCATCAATCACCCCTCCTTCTCACTAACACAGGTGTATGGGGAAGAGCAGCGGATATCCGCTAGTAATCATTCTTCTTCTATGGTTCTTGGTACAACGCAGGTCGCCCTCAGGTGGATCCAGGGGCGGATCTAGAGAAATTTTCTCAGGGTGGCATGGAAATTAAACGGGGTGGCAAAATGAAAACCTTTTTTCTCTCTTACACATATGCAGGTGTTGCATTCTGTAATAAGCATTATATATGGTTAACATATATAAAAAGCAGTAAGCATAAGCATTTCATATAAACATAGTCTGTAACTTTATTTTCTTTGGCCAACATAATTAAACATTTCAGTTTCATAAAACATTTTAATTTTGATTTTATGTAGTGTAAAGGAATGTAATAAATAAGCATGTAGCCCCATAAGTATAAAATTTAGATAGCTACACAAATGGGGTGTTTCATTTACAAACATTATATTTATTTATGTTGATTTTTAGTTGAGAAGCCATAAAAGGCTGAGGTATACAAATGTACTACTCCTATAAACTATGCAAGAAAACTTTCCACTGCCAAGAGCAATGTTTTGTTGTACAGGGTTAAATAAATAACAATTAGAAATCCAATTACATGTGAATAATGTAATCAAGAATTTGTAAAGATATGCTTTTGTATTTTAATAGGCAAACCTTTCGCTGCCCAGTTTCACCAATAGAAAAACAAAGCAAGAGAAGTTCCAGATATTTCAAAAATAATTGTGATCATACCTTTAAATGTCTATAAATTGATCCAACCGTGCTGGTGACTATCCCAACTCCCATAACACAGGAGGACTGCCTCTGCCTGGGCGGGTGCTTTTTAAAATTGTGGTACATTCTGTAAACAGGTGAGCAGGCTTAAAACGAAGAAGCTAAATTTCAGCACTATCTCTGTTTTTCCACACTCATTGAATTAAATTGACATTAAAATAAAGATAAAAGGGGATCCATTGTAGGCCCCCTCCCATGTATTTATTGTAACACCGGTAGTTGATATTAGATCTAAATACTACAATTCCATTCATTTTAACTCCTGTGTAATACTGCCAAAATAATATCACCAAAACAGGTTTAGCTGGGAATTTTAGTGCTGACTGATGAGACAAGTTTTAAATAATCCACTGAAAATCTGACTGGGTAAAAATAACTCACAGGAAGCACAGAGCGAGGGGACATACAGCACAGAAAACTAACAGTAACTTCTTTTAAAACGGAGCAGCTGAGTACACAGCAGTGACAGGAGGAAGTGACAACGAACAGAGGGTGGAGGATAATAAATACTCAACAAGGTATGGGGGGAGTGGAAACAGATTTAAAAGGGGAAAACAGAGAGAGGAAGAAAAACTAAATATAGAAAACACAAGACAAAAGGACTCAACATGGAAGATAGACAAAAAGTTGGCAAGTCATGGGAACACACATGATAAGCAAAGTAGAAACATAAGTACACAGTAAACTGAGGTTTTCATCGTTGCCTCTTTTCCTGAAACGAGGAAAAGAGGCAAAACTTAAAACTTAATTTGCAAAAACATAAAAAATGTACAACTCCCCAGATTAAAGAGAAATATATATTTATTAATAATATACTTAACAGAAACTGGGAGCACAGAGGGTGCATATTTTATTACAGAGAGGTCTTTAGAAGGGACTAAACATGATTTATTGATGAACAGAATTCAATAATGCTATTTGGCAAGTAGACTCAATGTCCCCACATGCCAAATTGTATTAGTCAGAAGATACTTGAAAAGAATGAAACCTACTTAAAACACAGAAGCAAAGAAACCATAATTTTGAGAACCCCATTCCTAGCCCTCAGTGGCAGACAGGGAGGGGACAACTCTACCGCTATTTAAGCTGGGTTGCTAGTTAGCTAACATCAGTACCGTTAGCTAAAATGGTCGTTCACACTGGTTTTTGCTGCTGTCCCCATTGGGGAATGATGAGTCCCAGTCTGTGTTGATTTCCTTATTAATCATAGTGCTAATGTACTAAACAAAACTTTGAAAAAAAATTATCATGCTCTCTGTGATTGTGAATCCACCATGGTGGACATGATGAAGACCGCTTGGTCTTGATTTCTCATCGGCTGACCTCCACTTCCCTTCCATTTTTACAGAAATCTCCAGTTTTTTTCCCCGCTTAACTGTAACCTCCCCCCCCCCCTCCAGAAATTACCATACTAGAAAGTGAAAAAGAGAAACTTGTCCTATTTTCACAACGTTACAGAGGTTTTATTAGAGACACGGCTAAGCGGTTTGCAATTTGGAATAATTTGCAAAAGCTTAAAAATCTTTAGCATTGAATTGCACAAATGAGACATTCTTGTCAGAGGTCATTTTGGAAAAAAAATTAATTAAAAAACAGCAGCCGACAACACTGCACACAATGGTAGACTGGTGCTTAATAAGCAAGCGAATAAGGCAGACATCTTTTTGTGGAATCTTTTTACCTGCTCTTTGATCGTTTGCTGTTGTAGCTGTTTGTTGGTTGATGAATTTTTTTTTGTGAGCTTTTAGCTGGGATTCTGACACTTCTGTGGATAGCACACGTCTGCATTTAAATAACAGATCTGGTGGTACATCCCATTAAATCAGATGTTTTCCCTCTCGCCCCCGACACCGAGATCATTGGGGTTCAACGGGTTAATTGTTTATTGTTTAGTTACTTTGTGTAGTATGAATGGCCATAAGGGAGGTTTTTATCAGTAGGAAAACCTGTAAAAAGCAGCTAAAAATCCAACATTTCTGCTTGTGCTTCATTGTGATGACAACTTAAGACAAACAACTTAGGAATTATAAATGGCTTCAAGCATACATTCAGGCCTGTGAGACTTATTTAGACATTGAGACAATGAGCCATGAGCCTCTGTGCTACATGCACACATTTCTGCATCTCTGCCATTCAAAGACAGTTTGTATATAGTTTATTTTATGTAATATTCAATACTGAACCGTAAATGCAGTGTTTTTCAGTATTTTTATGCATTTGCTAGTACTAGGAAGGACACATGAGGTTTATAGCCGGGACAAGTTTGAAACCGTTCGTCCTCCACAATGGAAAACGCCTAAAAATAAAAATGGTTCTCAAATGTTGCTCATTTTGTATTTCTTTGCTTTATGGTGGTGGTCAGAGGGCCCGGTGGCGCCAGTGTCCGGCAGCCTCGCCTCTGCCCCTGGGCAGCTGTGGCTACAATGTAGCTTGCCATCACCAGTGTGTGAATGTGTGTGTGAATGTGTGTGTGAATGGGTGAATGACTGACTGTAGTGTAAAGCGCTTTGGGGTCCTTAGGGACTGAGTAAAGCGCTATACAAATGCAGGCCATTTACCATTTATCACGCTTGCATTTAAATCCGGCTCCCCAGTCCCTCTGAGTACCCAACCTGTACAACGGGGTGCCCAATCCCAGTCCTCGAGAGCTACTGTCCTGCAGCTTTTAGATGCATCCCTACTCCAACACAGCTGAATCAAATGGTTTGATTATCTCTTTGGCATGCCATGAAGTTTGGCAAAGGCCTGGTAAAAAGTCTTTCATTTGATTCAGGGTTTTTTTCGTTGCAATTCTTCAAATGTCCTCTGGAGGGCAACAATGCAACTGTAATGCATCTAGTTTGCCGGATATACGACAAAAGAAGAAGGATGTTTTGGTTTTTGGCATCGGAAATATCCATGGTTTCACATATTTACCCCTGGGTAGTGTGAAGAAGCGGGGATTCATGGGCAAGTCGCGCGATTTAAGTGAGTTTCAGCGGGGTATGATAGTGGGAGCCCGAAACGCCGGGTGTAGCATCTCACAGACAGCGAACCTGCTGGGCTGTTCAAGGACCGCGGTGTCCCGAGTTCACAGGGAATGGTGTCAGAAGCAGAAAACCTCCAGCGACCGCGGAGCTAGCGGGAGGAAGCGGCTCGTCGACGAGAACGGAGAGAAGAGACTGGAAAGGATCGTGGAGGCTAACAACCAGGCTACGATTGAGGAGATCCATGCCTTGTACAACAGCAGCGGGGTGGAGAAACCCATCTCACTGAGGACTGCCCAGCGGACCCTGAAGAGGCTGGGTTACAGCCGCAAGACGCAGGGAGAGGACGTCCTCATCGCGGCAGGGCTGGAAGCTTTAGCCGAGTACACATCCGGCCAAGAACACACGGACACCTCGACGGACATGAAGTGTGAGGTGCAACAGGAGCCAAAGATCGAGTCCTCCACGACGGAGGTTGCGCGCAGTAACGAGAATGACTTGGAGACATGAATGTAGTAGTAAAGAACTGGATTAAACCATTCTGATGTCGCGATATTTCCAGAGTTGCCCACTGTAGAGCTGTTCTTTAACCGCCCCCCCCAGTTTATTCCGATGTCTTACAAAATATCCACCTTTGTTTTTCGCGCCAGATCAGGAGTTTTATTTCAGTGTAATCATGTGCAAACAACATCTTCCTCAGCCAATTTAGTCACTTTCAAAACCATTCACAAGAAAAATGCATCCAGATGTTGGACCCTTATCTTAACAGCTGTCAGATATTCTGTCTATACGGAACAGAAACGTGGATGTTATAATAAAAAATGTAAAATTCAAAACGCCAAAATAACCATTAATATATTAAAGATAGATCCTTTATTTTCCTCATGGTGAAATTTGATCTGGACTGTAGAAAACTAGACCCATAAACACAGCACCAGCAGGTGCATACACATTTATTAACAGCAGGCATCGCTCAGGGTGCCGTGTAGCCTCAGCTCATTTTAGGCTAACCTTTAAAAGTCTCCACAGAGGAACAAAGGAGTTTTGATTCATGCTGTTAAAGTCTAAACTACCTGGCTGTCGATAACAACTCATACTGAGAGTACAGGATGAGGGAAGGATCACAAATGACTCACTCTGCTTGTTTAAGTACCCACTGGTCAACAAACAATTTGAAGACTATAACAATCGCTCTAATCAATCATTGTTATTGCAGTCTCAACCAAGCACGTTAACTCTCCTGAACCATGGACATTTTCACATTTGAAATAAGGCGATCGCTGTCAGGGTTTGCACTGTCATTACTACAGCAAACACCATTTCAGTCAACTGTAAAAATTAATATAAGCAGTGGCTTATGGGAAAAGTCTCTGCAAATGCCAAATATGATTTAAAGTGGTGCTATTTATTTAAAGCGTTCAAAGGTCTAATAAATCAGAAGGAGCCGTGTGCTTTATTGCATTTCAACTTACTTAACTTAGATTAAACTTGGACTGAGGTAATCCACAACCCAGTTTGTTCACTGCAGCTATAACGTGAGCACCCCGAGGTAGCATATCAGGGAAGTTTGCTATAATAAAAATATTTTAAGTGGTCTTTCTTGTTTGTTTGCTTTTCATTCATAACAATTTACAGAACTCAACCACAGCACCTCTTCAATCCGTCCTTACACACAGCTGATCGAGCTAACTCTGATTACTGTCCCTGGAACTGAAAACAAAAGTTAATCAACCTGGAGTTTAACATTAAACACTTTTTCCCCCCAACCTGCCATCTGGAGTCATCCACTCGTGGGGTTGTACTTTGGCGTATGTTTGCATGTTTGTCTGTGAACAGTTTCGTCACCCTTATGCAAGATGCTGTCACAAATCTGTTTGTGTTACAGCTGCAGTTCCCATCAGGGTGATTACACACAAGTGTGTACAGTTACATCTTTATCTAAATGTATTTATTTATATAAAAATGAATTCAAACAGGAGGTGTAGGAGGTGGTTAGTTTGTGATATTATTCATTACTTTGACCTAAATTTACAGCTGTTGTATTGAAGTTTGCATATGACTGTGTTGCATTAGAGATTTATAGCCAATCCCCTGTGTTGTTTATCTTTTTGGAATAAAATTCTCAAGGAAATGCATCACTTTCTCTTGTATGTTGATTAGAGTGAAGATTTAAAATTAGGTGGGTCCCATGGGATCTTCTGTTTTCTAAGTTAGACCACAGCACGCTTAATTTTAGGAATGGTTGCTTTAAATCATCACTGTAGCCTTTTCTTTCCTGAATTTTCTATAATTGCACAGCTGAAATAAAGGAAAATGATTTTCTGTGTATTTTGTACATAAGAAAAACATGACTGTCAGCGTGGGATTCCTGAGCTTGCAGAGGACAGACAGTGTTTACTTAAACATTTTGCTTTGTCCAAAAGGAAGAAAAAAGCACATTTGCATACTGAAAGTTTTTTGGATATAAAGGGGCCACTCGATATTTAGTGGGGAGTCTAGCCTTGAACAAATTGCTTTCTGTCAGCCATGTATGATGAAAACCGTTTTAGTGCTGTGTCCTTGATTCCAGTGCTGGCCAGTCGTAATAACAGAAGATGACAGATGGAATCGAAAGCAGAACTGAGGTCAAGGATATGCATGTGATGCAAGGATGAGGTCCCTGGTGAAACAAAAGCTATTTTCCTGCTGTGTCTGAATGGCTCTTAAAGTTATTATTAATTAAGTAAGCCTGGACCTGTGATGCTGCAAGGCATACTCCAGAATCTCAGAGATAAATGGAAAGCTGGAAATGGGACAGTATGACCTGTGACAGTATAGGAGTGCAGGCTGTAAACAGGGAATTAGACCCAGTAAGCATGTGAAAGTTTTCAGGGTGTTTTACGTGGCTTCATTTAGGAAAAACTGGAAGGGAAAATAAAAGTATGGATGACGATTTTATTTAATACTTTTACCCATTCACACGCTGACTGAATGTAGTGTAAAGCACTTTGGGGTCCATAGGGACTAAGTAAAGCGCTATACAAATATTTACCATCTGTTTTTACCTATCCACGTGTAGTTTGTTCTCAAAACAACTACAAAAATACAGAGTTGCAACTGAAATAATACATAACTTTTAAAGATAACTCTTACACAGCAAAAGTTGCTGGGTAATGCATACAGACATAAAATGATGATGATTTGCAGAATCCTCTAGGTCACAGCTAGTATAAATCACCTTTCTGACGAAGATGATAATGTTGAATGGGAGAGATGATTTGTCACAAAATCATCTTGTGAATTAGTGGATTAATTTGTGATCACTGTCTCTCATTAATTCAGGACGAGTCTGATGAGCTTTTTAAAGTTCTGCTGATTTAGCTTAAGTGTGTGTGTATGAACACATGAGTTAGTTTTAGTGGTGGGCCTGGTGGTAGTATGGCTGCATAGCTGATTTTCCGGGGGACTTTATGCATATTTTAAGAGCAAAAATCGAAAAATCACCAATGCAACTCAGGAGGGCGACAATAAGCCTTCATTCCAGCCTAATGTACCGAAAACCACCGAAGTAGAATGAGTATTTCTATCTGCAGCGCTTCTCACCGTTTGTGCACCATGATGGGCAAGTCTCGGGATTTAAGTGAGTTTCAGCGGGGTATGATAGTGGGAGCCCGAGACGGCGGGCTCAGCATCTCGCAAACAGTGAACCTGTTGGGTTTTTCAAAGACTGCGGTGTCTCGAGTTTACAGGGAATGGTGCCAGAGGCAGAAAACCTTCAGTCAGCGGGGACCGTGTGGAAGGAAGCGGCTCGTGGATGACAACGGAGAGAAGAGACTGGAAAGGCTGGTGGAAGCCAACAGCGAGGCTACGATTGAGGAGATCCATGCCATGTACAACAGCAGCGGGGTGGAGAAGCCCATCTCACTCGCAACTGCCCGGCGGACCCTGAAGAGGCTGGGTTACAGCCGCAAGACGCAGGGAGAGGACGTCCTCATCGCGGCAGGGCTGGAAGCTTTAGCCGAGTACACATCCGGCCAAGAACACACGGACACCTCGACGGACATGAAGTGTGAGGTGCAACAGGAGCCAAAGATCGAGTCCTCCACGACGGAGGTTGCGCGCAGTAACGAGAATGACTTGGAGACATGAATGTAGTAGTAAAGAACTGGAATATTCCCATTCGACATCCCAGTATTCCAAAAGAAAACTGTCCACTGTAGAGCAGTTCGTTATTAATTAAAGAAAGTTAAAGAAAATATGCCTTAGAAATATGTTTCCTCGAGTTTATTATTAAGTTTTTATGACTTGCAAAACGACACACTTTGTTTTGGGGCCAGATCAGGATTTTTATTTCTTTGTAATCAGATGTGCAGAGAACATCTTCCTCAGATAATTCAGTCATCTTCAAAACCATTAAAAGAAATCTGCCTCCAGATGTTGGATACTTTTATTTGTCCCTTACCTTAACATCTGTCAGGTGTTCTGTCTATAAAATACAGGTTATAATGGTATCTTGATCGAGACCTGTTTTTATTTGTTTTTTTTGTTTTGTTTGTGTGTGTTTCGCAAAACTAGAGCCATCAATACAGCACCACTCATATCGAGAACACAGGAATAATGATGGATCACGACTGATTCACTTTGCTGGTTTCAGTACACACTGGTCAAAAACAATTTGAAGATAATTAATGATGGTTATGAGCCGTTATTGTTGCTGCAGACAGAGACTGAAGTCACTTGGAGGAGTGACCACTGAAAACTCTTCGCCCAGAACGTTATTTTTAAAGCACCTTTTATGAAAACATTAAATAAATTAATACATGAATACATATACACACATTACATTAAATTAAAATTACTGAAGAAAAATAACACAAAAATAAAAGAATTGCCTTTCTGTAATTTCCTGATTAAGAATAAATCAAGATATTCTTAGATTTCTTTAATTAACAAAAAAAGATTTAATATTACCAAGAAAAAATACTGCACAAATACCCAAGTAAAATAACAGTAATCTGATTATAAAGCAGACAAGGTATAATAATTACGTATTTCTTTATTTTTACATGTGCAGGTGTCTGTTTGTTCTGGCATCGGTTTCAATAAAGTTGTAACAAAAAAAAAACAAAAACAAGAAAAACTCAACCACGTGATAGTGACTCCGAGTCATATGACGGAAATGAAACTGGCACAGTTTAGCGGAAAGGATATAAAACGTCGTCGTATTACCGAGCTGCCTGTGGGACATTTGGAATTTGTGTTGTTCCGTTTCTGGACACACAGTCAGGGGAACTGTAAATGTGACGCTCCTTCAACATCCTCATTCGAGCAGCTGCAGTTTGCGGGGAAGCTCACCTGTCTGTCATCATGCTAACCGTGTTTGTTATTGTCGTTGCTCTTGTTTCTCAAACTGCGGCTCACTACACCCCGGACTGGACGAGCCTGGACGCCAGGCCGTTGCCTTCATGGTACGACGAAGCCAAACTGGGAATTTTCATCCACTGGGGCGTGTTTTCTGTGCCCGGCTTTGGCAGCGAGTGGTTCTGGTGGCACTGGCAGGGCCAGCAGCCCCCGGACCAGAAATATGTGAACTACATGTCCCAGAACTACCCACCAGGCTTCACCTACCCAGAGTTTGCTCGTCAGTTTCACGCGCAGTTCTTCAATCCGGATGAGTGGGCGGATATTTTCAAAGCTTCTGGTGCAAAGTGAGTGTTTCTCTGTAACATTGTATCGTCTTTTTGACCCTCACCTTCTCTCAGTACACACATTATTACATTATTATTATTATTATTATTATTATTATTATTATTATTGCACAGTACATGTACCCTGTGTTACTTGCACACCCTCGTCAATGCAGGTATGTGGTCCTGACTGCCAAACACCACGAAGGGTTTACTAACTGGGAGTCTCCAAACTCATGGAACTGGAATTCTGTTGATACTGGTCCTCACAGGGATCTGGTGGGAGACCTGGCAGAGGCAGTGCGCAACAGGTGAAAAACTTAAGTTACGATGCTTAAAAAAGGTGGTTATTGTTGACAGATGGGCTGACACTGGTATGCAGAAAAGGCCAGTCAGTTTTAACCCACTGCCTTCCTCCTACAGAGCTTCCTGTATTTTCACATCGATCAGCCTGTACAGGGCTCTTCACGTGTCAGTCGAGTGTCATTAACGATGCAGAAAAGCTTTAAAGCTTCATATTTGTGGAACTTGCTTGTCATAAACTTCTTTACCACCAGGTGATTGTTGGGTTAAGATTAATCATTAAAAATGTTGCGGCCATGTGTATCAGTTGTAATAGTTGGTTAGATCAGATGTGTTCCCAAGTAATGTCATTTAAATTGCACGTATTGCCTTTTTTAAATAAATGTCTGTAATTTCCCCTTTTAGGTCACTGCACTATGGACTCTACAATTCCTTGTATGAGTGGTTCCACCCTCTCTATCTCATTGACAAGAAGAATGGCTTCAAAACGCAGGAGTTTGTGCTGCAGAAACTACTTCCAGAGCTTTATAACATGGTTGTAAGGTCTGTGGTGCTTAAAATGTTGCGTCAGCTGATCGCACTTTATACATGCATGCCAGCAGTATATTTAAACCTTTGCTCTCCTGTTGCCTTGGAGGTATCGACCTGAAGTCATCTGGTCTGACGGAGACTGGGAAGCACCTGACACCTACTGGAACTCTACCGAATTCTTGGCCTGGCTCTACAACGACAGCCCGGTTAAAGTGAGTGTCTTTATGACAAGGTAGTCATAGATGGTGCACTTGCTTTTATTTTGAAAGTTCAGATGCTGCAAACCAGACATCCCCTGTGCTTCCTGGATTTTAGCTGTGGTGTATTGAACTGCAGGTAGCAAAAGTAGTCCTCATGATTGCCTGTCTTTCCTTTTCTTAGGATACCGTTGTGACTAATGACCGATGGGGAGCTGGCTGTGCCTGTAAACATGGCGGCTACTACAACTGCGAGGACAAGTACACGCCGGGCCAGCTGCCCACACACAAGTGGGAGAAATGCACATCTGTGGATACTCTTTCCTGGGGTTACCGTCGAAACATGAAGATGAACGAACTTTTGCCATTGGCTGCGATTATCGAGGTGATAGTAGCACAGATATTAGCTTCTACATTTAAAGTTAAGGTTGTTTTTATTTGTATATGGCTATTATAGAATACCTTTAATTTTTGCTTGTGCATGCAGCCTTCAGGAAATACTTTTGTAATCATAATGACTGTATTTAATCAATTAATCCAAGCCAAGTGTGTTGTCCTTTTGTTCTGTTTATTTCTGATGGTTAGGCCATAATGGATCGGTAATCTTTTGCTCATCTGGAATGTAACACTGTTTTATTGCCTGCTTCCTCTTGTGTCTGCTGTTGCTTTGTTGCAGGATCTGGTCCGCACTGTGGCTTTTGGGGGTAACTACCTTCTGAATGTGGGTCCCACACCTGACGGGATGATCCCCCCTTTGTTTGAGGAGAGGCTAAGAGGTCTTGGAGACTGGCTGGAGGTCAACGGGCAGGCCATTTACTCTTCCAAACCCTGGAGGGTGCAGTCAGAAAACACCACTGTACCAGTTTGGTAAGAAAAAAGGGAGATGTGACTCAGATCACTTCACTTTCACTGTATTTTCTTGACTCTCAAGATGAGTCTATCGACAATCTGTCAACTGTATGAAAGTTTTAGTGCAGTGGGAGAGCTAATCGTCCCTGAGGATTAATGCAGGTTACGGGGAGATACAGACAGGATGTGTACTGTTGTACTTGGCAACACGTATGTTAAATAGCATGGTGTTTGTTTCGATGTGGGGAAGCTGACAATTTTCAGAGTAAAGTGCATAATAAAGCTTGCTATGATCGCCTGTATTGATCTAGTTAGGCAATGAGTCTGTGTTACCTTGCTTGGTCCTGGTGATTTTTCCTTTGTTTGGTGCTGGTATTTTTGTATGCAGAAAAAAAACTGTGTAATGCTCTTCACTGTTCTAGGTATACATCTAAGGGGTTGACAGTCTATGCCATCCTAACAGCCAAACCCCCGATGAGCACAGTGAAACTGCTGGCACCCAAAGCTTCAGCCATCACACAGGTAAAGAAACAATGCTGTCCATGTTTGTATTCAGAGTTGAAAAACATGAACAAATTTTTATTGATCTGCTTTTATCTCTTGCCCAGGTGTTCTTGGTGGGGAATCCCACACCTTTATCTTGGGCCCCAGTCAACCCCGGTGGTGGCCTTGTTGTCCTTTTGCCAGAGCTGCCTTACACTCCTGCTCAGGCATGGACGCTTGAACTGGACTTAGTGCAGTAAGCCAGCGGTCCCCGACCAGTACCGGTCTGAGGCCCGGTACTGGTCCGTGAGTCGTTTGGTACCGGGCTGCGAGAGTAGAGGCTCGGGTGTGAAATGTATGGTTTTCAGGGTTTTTATCTGTTTTCAGCGTTATTTTGTTATCGTTTTTATGGTTAACTCGGTTTTCCTTGGTCTTTTCATGTGTGTTATGAATAAATCTTCTTTTTTTTTGGTACCGGTACTAGTTTTATTTTGTTGTATTTTTTCCGTGACACCTTAAAGGCCGGTCCGTGAAAATATTGTCGGGCATAAACCGGTCCATGGCGCAAAAAAGGTTGGACTGCTGCAGTAAGCTACAAACGCCCAAAATGTTGAATTATTTTCAAGTGACTCTACTCAGGTTTTAATGATTTTAGATTAATGGGGAAACTTACAGTCTGTCTTGAAGGGAGAATACCGGTGTAATGAGTTTGTGTGATTTCGCTTTGATGCTCTGAAGGCTTAAAGATTTACTGTCACTGTCTCAGTTGTGTTTGTTTTGTCATGAGAGAGTGTTTATGAATGAAAACGGGATTCTGCTGTTGAGCTTGTGGAGCTTTTCTGGCAGTTTCTCGGCTAAGTGCCGTTTCAGAAATGATTCATTATGCCTGCGGTTTGTTTTGAAAATGAGCAGATTATATACAAAGCACTTATTTTTTCTACTTGCCTCCTTTTGAAATTGGTGGAATAAAAGACAGCTTGATTCATCTTCTAATTGTTCTGTTATTATTAAGCTTCCAATGCAGTCAGTCAGCAAGCAGGTATTTTAGCATTTGCTAAGGCATAAATGGTACTTTTATCCTCCTTCAATCTTTTTAATACATCAATGCCTCAGTTGACAGTAACAAACCTGCGGGGCATGATAATGTTATGACATCTGTACTAATGGATGACTGCATTGATGTTCTAACCCCTGAAGTGCCACAGGAGGTCCGTATTCATATATAAGTAACCACTGACTGCTTTTAATTCCTAGGCTGTCCGAATTGACAAAAATGTCCCCTGAATGTGTCAGTCTGACTTTGCACTTAACTGAGAAGTGAATGGCCGCAGGGACTGAGCATTTGACAGAGAATGCGTTAAATTGTTTTTGTCCTCTCCTTTAGGCTTTCTTAATAGGTTTATCTGGTCTACTTAGAATTTCTATTATAAATGCTTTCAGGCGGTGACGGACGCGAGAAAAATGGAAAATCGGTTTGGAGAATCCTTATCATTGACCTCTACTTTGCATTTTAGCTGTGTGCTGTCGAGGTTAATACATCAATGCTGCAAAAAGATGTGAATCTATAAAGTGATTTACCCTTGAGTTTAATCTGAAATATTCATCATGAAAAAATGTTTTTTTAAAACATCTAAAACTACTGAAAAGCTCAGAAAATGTATTCCATTTCCACTTCACCTTAATCCCACAAAGGGAAATCACATCACTGCCGAGACTATTGCGACCGTGTGTAATGAAGAGAGATGGGCAGTAATGTGTTACTGTAATCAGATTACTTTTTCAAGGAACGAGTAAAGTAAGGGATTAATATTGCGAAAAAGTAATTAGATTACTGTTACTTTCCCATAAGCATGCTGCGTAACTGCGTTACTAAACCGTGATTTTGTTTGTGAGAGTGTCTCATGACAATGATGTCAGAGCGTGCGACACCCGTGGCAGCAACAGACGTGTGCAGGTCAACAAGGATAATATGGAGTGTGGGAGAGAGAGTACGACCATGCAGCGTTTAGAGCGTGGATGTACTGACATTACTTTGAGTTTTATTCCATAAAAAGTGACAAAAACATTAGTGTCCGCTGTACACTTCTTTCTAGAGCAAAAAATTAAACTTCAAATCTGAACAAACATCTTCCAAGCCACCACAGGAATGTGAAATTCATAGAGAAACCCCCGGATACCCCCCACTGACATGACCGCTGTGGCACCGGGCCCCACTCCTGCTGAGAACGATAGGACTTAGTGGCGCTGAATCTTTGATTTTATTTATTTTTTGCTGTGTTTTACTTGCATCTATTTGAAAGAGTGAATGTAAAAACAAAACATTTTATTTTATATGCTGGAATATACAGATAATGGGTTTAAATGTTAAACAAATTTCTTCAAGTCAGAGAATGTTGCATATAATTTAATTTTTGCTTGATGAATAAAGTTGCAGTTGCAAATATGCAGAAAAAATAGAATTGGGCTGAAAGGTCTATTGTTTATTACGTATTCAGGTTGTCTATCATGTAACTAAGTAATAAAGTAACTAATTACATCTGAAAATAAGTAATCAGTAAAGTAACTAGATTACTTTCTTGGATAATTAATCAGTAATTACTTCTAACTAATAATTAATTACTATTTTCAAGTAACTTGACCAACACTGGTAATGAACTTGTAAACTTCCTCTTGCAGTGGTTGCTTCGAAGATGGGCATCAAATCCAAGAGCTACTCGGCTTCGTTTGTCTTTTACATACAGTATATATAAATATAAATATATTAGTGGCAATTTATCCTCCTGAGACCCGAACTCTTCCACGGCATGCATTTTTGATTTCTCTTTGATATTTGGGCATATTGGGACCCAATGAATGTAAAAACAAAGAATGACCAGATTTTTCTTTTTTACCTGATTTTTGTTTCTAAGAAAATGAGAGCCACATATGAGGATATTCGTTTAAAATTTCGATAGAACAGTAGCAGTATAATGTCCTCGTAAGTGGATATCAGGCCCTTGTAGAGCAAAATTGAGTATTTTGGTCTAAATAACCCAAAATGTGATGTCCACATATGTGGACGCCAGGTCCTAGGAGGTTAATCCTCCTGTTATCACATTTGTATTCATGTCAGATTCTTTTAAAAGTTGTTGCTAAAGTTCTTTGGGAGTTTTCCCATATAAGACACACATTTTCAGAAGTTAGACACCCCCACCCATGTTTTGTTGGTTGGATCCCTGCTTACAATAGTCACAAACTGCACAAATTTATTCAGTAAAAAAATTCAAAATTCAGATCTCTTCCTGACATCTGACTTTCAGATTAACCCAAGAGTCAAAGACTATTTATGTCAAAACCAGCGTGTGACTTGGAGTCTCCACTGGTTGCATGCAGTGGCGGATCTAGAAGGGTGGCATGGGGTGGGAAGTGCCACCCTAAGATGATCCCTTGCCACCCCAAGTGCCACCCCAGTTTTCCATATGACAGTTTTGTTTATTAAAATAAGATAGCATTAACAGTTTGAGCGTAGTTACAATCAACAGTTAATATAAATGCTAAAACTGAATATATTGCATAGTGTTTCCCCCCTCCATCATTAACAAATGGTTCAGCCCATAGCAGGACCGGCTTTTTTCATCATAAGTGATGTTTATGATTGTGCCAGAGCACATTTTGAACAACACCATGGGTGGTTGGATGTTACAGTCTGGAAATGGAAGGAAGGTGAGTGTTATTAACCCTCTGTGGTCCACGGACACGCTGCACCTCCAAATCACATGACTGATGTAAGCTGACATAGAAACAGGCTGCAGCCACGCAGCGAGACAGAGCGAGACAGAGAGAACGAGAGAGTTTTTAGATGTGGGAAATTTTTGACGTTTAGTGTGGAGTGTATAAGTGTGTTGTGTTGTCTTGTGTAGTTGTTCTGTTGTGTAGTCGTTTTGTTTTGTGTGTCAGTGAGGGCACTAATTAATGTCACAGAGGCACATTTGCAAGGTAAACACTGTCACTAAGTAGAAAACCGCGGAGTGATACACCTCCTGTTGTCAGGCCTGCAGGTTTATCCCTGTGCTGTTCTCCTGTTTTTACTGGCACACATCATTTGTGGGGCATCTTATTGCAACACCTGATTGTTCTCTCATTTTAGTTTTAGTAATATTTTTAAATGGTTGTACAAAAACAAAAACCGGAAGGTGTATTGGCTGCATTTTTAGATAAATAGTTATATGTTTACAAAATGTACAATTTATATTTGCATTTCAAGTTATAAAAATTTACTCAATATATTTGTGTGTTTTTTACAGTAAAGAAATACTACTAGGATTTTAAGTTCTTTGTGTGGTTTCAGATCAGTAATACTAATGCAGTATGTCAGTGAAAAAAAAACTAAATTCAGTTGAGCTGAAAAGAATGATACCAAACAAGGCAAGGGGAAAAAAATAAAATGAAACAATTTGAGGGTGAAATACAAACGTAAACTCAAAAGGAGTCAAAAATGGCCGGTTGTATTTCAGACCTCAGTGGGTTCATCCAACAAATCATGAAAAATTAGGTTTAAATTTTTGTTCATGACAGTGCAGATTTCTGACATTTTGTGTAATTTAAGCTGTAACAATGTGATTGTTTTCTAACAAAAAACAGTGTGAAACTTAAGTTAGACTTGTGTTTGTAAATGAACCGCCCCATGTTGTGTAGCTTTCTGGATTTTATACTTATTGGGCTACATATTTATTTATTATACAGGCTATACAGTACATAACATCAAAACTCACATGTTTTATGTAACTAAAGTGTGTAATTATGTGGGCTACAGACAATAATTAAGTTATAGACTATATTTATATGAAAAACGTGTATACTTACTGCATTTGAATCATTTTAACCATATGTAACCACCTGCATATGTGTTTGAAAAAAAAGGCTTTGATTTTGCCACCCCATTTGATTTCTTTGCCACCATAAGAAAATTTCTCTAGATCCGCCCCTGGTTGCATGGCAACTGCGAAGGTCAAGACCATGTCATAATTGCCCGTAAGGCACAATGTCATTTTCACATTTCGATTTTTTGGATGAGTTGCATCAATCTTATCCTGTAATCCTAGCAGATCCATTTAAGTCAGAAGACTGTTTCCTGTCTTTCATTGCTGGCTTGAAGCAGGTGAGGCCAAGGCCGATGAAATATGATTAGGGTGACATGCACTTTATATATTCTCACCTACTTATTTGGTCATTAATCAGAAAAATCAACACACACAAAGAAGACGCAGCACCCACTCATTTACCTCGCTAAAATAGCTTTATAATAATCATATTAATAGTAATAATATTAGCCATTAGAAAATGTTTCGACAACGTTGACAGTGTTACATTCTGTGTTGGGGTAAACCACGTCACAGTGTGCCATCTCTCTGGGCTTTCAGCGCTGTCAGGCGTGCTCCTTTCGACACATCCAGACCCATGAGTCATTATGAAATCCAGAAAATCAATTTGTATGTACAAAATGAGAAGCACAACACAAGAAACAGAATCAGGATGTACACCGGGCATCGTCCTCCACCGCCGTCCAGCACGTCTTCGGATCGCTGTGTTCATGCACGTTGTGTACTCACTGGTGGCAATGTGAAAGTTCATATTTTATGGCATCTCTATTGCTATGTGCTCCGGTCAATTCTTTTTCTTTATAGGATGAAAAAAACCCCAAAAAACCCCAAATAAAACAAAACAAAAGCATTTAATGATTTAACTGTACAATATACTGTCTTGGCACTGAATCGAACGTGTATAAAACAAGTAAGCACGACAATAAAGCTGAGCTTAAAGACAGAAAAGCTTAATGTGTCAAACCCGTCTGATTTAGAAATCGTGGTGAGACATGAAAGAGAAGGAGAAGAGGGGGCTATTGTGTTTTTTGCTACATTATAGAGTAGAACACAGAGAGTGGAGCATCTTATCAGTTTGAAGTCTGTGTTTCGTCTCTGTTGTGGCAGCACTAAGAGTTCAGAGTGGAGTAAAAG